CACCTACAGTTTCTACCACCTCCCAACAGTAATGGGTCCAATTATAAATCTATTAATGGATGAATTCTATTGATGAGATCAGAGTCCTCATGCTCCATTCACTTCCCAAAAGTCTCGCCCCTGAACATTACTGCACTGGGGACCAAACCTTTGACACATGAGACTCGGGACACTTTGAATTCAAACCACAACACAGACAGATGTGGAAATTATCACCTCCAGAACTTGGAGCTATTATGGCTTATTTCCCTAGCAGCATTTGCCTCAGAGAAATTCTCTCCCTGCGATTTGATTAAACTGAAAGACAGACAAGGGCATTTTCCATATTGAGTGCCCAAGAGATGCTAAAAACTGAGCTGAAACATTTTAAATGTATTACCCTAGGCTCAGGTAATAGCCCTCTACTTGTGTCAGGAAAATTTGTAAAAAGACTTTGGAGGAGAAAAGTTAGTGATGAGTGTTGGCTCTGGTACAACCTGCCAAGTTATCCGATTCTGCAGAGGCCTGTGTAGTGCATTGTTTTTGAGCTATTTTACAATTCTAAGTCCGAGAAAACTGATAGTAGTACAAATGATTTTCATCCTAGAGATGCAAATCAACTATTTCTGCTGGAGATGCGGCTGAATATTTCTCATTAGTGACTGACCAATTTTGCAGATATTTGTCAACTTATTTCAGTATTCCTGATTGCCTATGTATGTATATCCTTCAAATTCTCCCTTCAACTACTTGTCACTTCTTACCGGTTCCCTTATTAACCAGTGAGTTGAACCTTTTACATGTAACTGTTTTATGCTTAGATGAAAGTCATGATTTGATGGTTTTTTAAAATATTTTTTAATATTACTTACCAGAAAATCAGATTTTTCCCAAGGGCACAGAACTGGAAATCTTAGGGCTGGAATTTGACCACATGGGTCTGTCTTTTTCTTACTTTGTGGAGGAAAAAATCTTATGCCATTTCCTACTGATTCATATATGCATCTTTTCTCCCCTGCTTTCTGTGTGTCGTGGAGGACTGGTGGTGGAACTTACACCCATTAACAACCACCTTTTTTGAAGGGAGGAAAGAGGAAGGAGAATGAGACTGGGTTCTGGGTGGACTAATGGATGTGGGGCCGACTGGTGGAAGGGTCCCACAGATGTGCTCTGGAGAAGGCCTTGGTGTGAGGTGGAAAGGGAGGGGGGTAGTTGGGAGAAATGTCCAGAAAGCCAAGCTGAGACTTCCTGGACTCCCCTGCCTTTACCACTACCTCCCACTACCTGTCATATCTAGAATGCTCTCCGTAACCATGATGTCAACTGAGGATTAGGGAAATCCCTGTTCCCATTCCAGAGGAACTTGAATTTAGTTCTCGCATTTTCTCATGAAATGCAGTCCCGGTGCATTCTCCTGCTCCCACAGCTGTCACCTTGGATCAGCCTGGATGCTTGGATGAGCCTCCAGACCTTTGGTTTCTCCCTCACTGATTCACCTCCTGTAGCTGCTACTACTACCAAATTAATCCTCCTCGAAGAAACTTCGACACAAATGGCCCTCCCTGGAGGACACTAAAATGCTCAGACTCTTTGCTGAAGGAATAAAAAAGGGCCCTCTGCTTCTTCCCTTGTTCCTTCCTTTCTTCACTCAACTAGCATTTTTTATTTCAAGATTAAGCCCCCCCCCCCTTCGTGGCCAACATCATGAAGCCTTACATGGTGGGGGCGGACTCCTAGAAGTGATAAGGAAGGTTCTTTCAGAATCACATCTAAGACTTTTTAAAGTAAATCTTGCAGTTTCTCCTTGCCCAAACACGTATATGATCAGTCTCTAAGCACCTTCCTCCTCCTGAATCTGTACTTGTGATCTGTCTCCTCCATGAGAAAATGAGCCCCATCTGGGCAGGGGTTTTGTGGTGGTGGGGGGTGTCCTTACTTTTTATGAGCTGTCAATGAAACAGATATCTATCCAGAGTCCAGGGTGAGGTCCGGTGTTTTCACATATTACTTCAACATCAATTCAGGGAAAATCTATTCAATCATCTTTTATTCTGGGTGAGGAATCAGAATCCAGGGGCTGATTCTTATCACTGTAGCTCCCTAGAAATTGATGGAGTCCAGGTTTTGATAAGGAAGTCTCAGTTGCAGCCCCTGCTCAGACTAGTGATAAAAGAAAAAATTTCTCAGATGTCCTAAATAACTTACTTTCTTTCCTCCCCTCTCTCCTCCTGCCCTTGTAACTAATCAGTTAACAGCTGTGGCCAAATCAACACAAGACTGCTCTGCATTCCTGAACGCCCCTTGAAACCTCGACTTAAAATCACAGGCAATCCGCCACCGTGGACATCACGCTTATGAATGAACTTTCTGGACTCTTAACCCCAAGCAGCCCAGAAGCGCGCACACTGCTCCTTAGGGACTTTCCTCCTATTATAACAGAATTAGAAACTGTTTTTGCTAAAAGCACCAACTCTTCCTCTGGGCCCCATGCTTGGCATCTCTGCCTCCATTTTTGTACCTGGCCTCAGATTCCTGCTGGCCTGTGAATCCTCTAAGGAGTGTTCCTCTGAAAACGGGGACTGCAAGGTTTAATTAGCCCTAGCTTTCCAATTTCGTCTCCCTTCGAGACTGAGGACACCAAGGTAAGAATAATGAAGGCATCTGAAGGTTTGCAGGGACATGCAAGACTAGTTTTTACAACATCCTGTTCAAGACTTCTGAAGTGGTGCCTTGACATCTTCAATCGTTGCCCTACACCTTCCAGAGGAGCCTCCAGACATATTACCCACCATGGGACTGTCCTCATAAGCAGGAGCAAGTATCTTGTAGCAACTGAACTGCACCCTCCAGGATCACAGGTCTGGTAGATGAACACTCTGCATCCTGAGAAGCAGATGCGGATGGAGATGGCTCCCTCAAGGGACCAGGACTTCCCCCTGAGCTGCCTGGAAGAACCAGAACTGAGATATTGACCAACCAAACCAAATGTGGCCAAGATGGCTTAATTACGCATACCTCTCACCTTGTGCCAATTCTTCCTGTATTTAACCCTAAAGTTCCTGTAAGTCCGTCAAACACAGGGCTGAGACTCTTGATCTCACTTTGCCTCCCCAATATGGCTTTATTGATTAAAGCTCCTCTCCTGCTTCTCACCATTACCTTTTCTATTTGGTTTTGGGGGACAAATGCCTAGATCTGATCTATTGGAACCCCCAGAGTCAGACCTCTGGCCTAGGACTCCACCAACACTGTCCCAAAACATCCCGCTTTGCTGTTATATAGAGTCAGTGTGGGGCCATGCAAACCCTTCATGATTTTCTCCCCCAAATTTTCATTCTAAAAATGTTCTTGGCACATGAGTCCAATAGGCCCGTTTCTCACAAGTATCTAGTCCTGCTGCTGGTGGCTACAGAACTTGACCTGGGACCTGGTCCTCTTCCAGCTAGCATCTGAAATGGCTCCCAAATTCTCTTATTTCAAAGAAGTCCCTATCTCAAGAGTCTGAGTTTATTGTTGGTTGGGCAAGAGACAGCCACAGGGACCAGTTCAGACGTCCAGCAGGGCAGGGGGTGAAGGTCAATGAGAGCCACAGCCACCTGGGAGCTGGAGTTCAGAGGTGAAGGGGCATCATGTGGGCAGAAGGGAGTAGCAGGCTGCCTCTGTGGGAGCTGGGGTTCAGAGGAGAGGGCCAGGAGATGAGCTCAGAGCTGGAACCAGTGAGGTGGGCTGAGGTCACAGAGGAAGGACATGCTGGGAATGTAGGGGTTGGCTCTTCATACATTCCATATGTACTGTGTGTGGGAGGAAAAATCATGTTCTCTTTATCATTTTGAGTTATTACCTGGGTCCCTTGTAACAAAAGACATGTTAGCAACAGAAAAACACCCCGGGAGTTCATTGCCAGGTTTACCTCCTGTATGCAGGAGAAGATACCTGGAGCATGCAGTAAATCTCAAGTGGGTGACTCGGAAATTCAGACTTACACACCGTTGTTTACTGAAACAAGGGTCGGCAAGAAGGTCATAACACAGAAAAGCACTAAACAAGAATAAGGCTTGTTATTTGGGTTTAAGTTTTATCTTCATTAATAAGTTGAATTTTTATTTATTCATTTACTTGTCATCCTCTTCCAGGCTGATGGGGAAACACCCTTATAAATGCAGATTCTATTTATAAAGTGTTTCTATCCTGTTTATTTATAAATGTTCATTTCTCTTGTCAAAAGAAGAACTTCCACTTCATTTTCAGTTTCTCCTCGATCTGCTGTTTCTCAAAATAACTAGCTCAAAATAATCCTTTGGCCACAGAGGCACATGTTGGGGTGTACCTTCTGTTCTTCTGCACTGCTGTATTCCAGATCCATACCAGGGTCTGATCAAGCTCTTGAACACATGATCAAGACATAGCAATGTGTCCTCCAGGGACCTGTAATCTAAAGAGGGAGACATGCATATAGAAGCAGAATGTAGAAGAAATATTTGAGTTCAGTCGGCACAAAAATACAAGCAATGAGTTCAATGGGGGCTGGAGAGGGGGTGGCCCAGGTAGTGGTTCAGAATGGCATCCCCCAAGAGGCTTGCCTTGAGCTGAATTTTGAGTGACTGGGGTTTGCTGAGAGCTTGGGCATGCAGGAGAGAGCACCAGGTAGAGCAAACATCCGCAGTGGGCTGAAGTCCTCCAGTGCAAGATGGGCTGGTTACAGGCCCAGGGAGGTAACCATCCATTTATACCCAATGGGGCTGCAGAGGAAGCACAAGTCAGCAGGCAGGAAGGGCTGGGAGAGGCCAGGCAATAGAGTCTGAGCCCTCGGCTGAGGGATACAGACCTCATTCCCCCCGCAAACTCCATCTCTGAAAGACTAGATGGTCAACATTTGAGGCTTTGAACTCTGCCATTGTAGTTTACTGGAAAGAAGCCAGAGACATTGTGTCAATAAACGGGGGTGGCTGCATTCCAGTCATACTTTATTATTCACAAAACCAACCAGCAGACTGGACTTAGTCCCCAGCCACATGGTAGTTTGCCTGCCCCTGTCATAGACAGTGGCCAGCCCTGAGCAGTGTTTGGCACAGGAGAGCATCCAGAGATTTATGCAGCCATTATGTGCAAGGTAGATTGAAACAGGAGACTTGATGCGATCCTGATGAGACAGCCCCACTGTGAATTTACAAGTAAGTAGAATGGCAGCCATAGAAGATGAGAAGCCACACAAAGCCACTTTTTACAGAGTAAAAGGCCCAGCAGCTAAACAAATGTAGGAGACAAAGAGTTAAAAGTGGATCCCAGATCTGAGCCTGGGCGGGAGAACAGCCACTTTAGGATTTAATTTTAGGCAGTACCTGCTGCTCTCTAACAGAGACGTCGATAAAGGTATTCATCAGGAATTGCAAAACAAATCAGAAAAATTACTTCCATGTTACAGCAAACGCAGAAACTCATTCCTAGATGCAAATATTACTTGCAGGTGGAGGGAAGGGGTTGGGGGGGTGGTGGGCATGGGGAGAAGAGAGAGCTTCCAAATAAGCTTTTTGCTAACTTGAAGGGAAATGGATACATCTGGAAAATTCAAAACTGTTTGCATAAACAAGTGTGGCTGTTCAGGCTGTTTCCCAAACCCCAGGTGTTACATAAGATAATGTTGCTAAAATGTTTGGGACTTGGGGAGAGAGATGGTATAAACATGTGGTTTTACTATAGCTCATAAAAGATGATTGTGTAGAAACCTTAGAAAAATTGAAAGTCGGCACAGTATATAAATGAATGGCTTTCCTTCCTGTTTTACCGCAATGCCTTGCTCAAGGCTTCAGGGTGATTACAGGTGGGTGTCGAGGGGCCAGGCCAACGTACTAGCATTTAACAAGTTGCCTCCATCTTTCTATTGGGGTCTGTGACTCTGTGGTTGGGGGGGAAATAGAGAGGAAAATGCAGTTCCATGTAGGTTTGTGTCCGTGGTACTCTGAGCCAGGAATAGGAAGAAAAATGACTGTCTAGTAATCGGTAGAGGTGTAAGGAGTTGTTCTGTTCAGGTAGCTGAGACTGCAAAATTCCAGAAAACTTGACCTGAACATCTCTTCAGCATTTTCCATTTTTCTTGAGCAAAATGAAATGTGACTAGACCTGTTCTTAGCAGCTACGTCTTGTTTATATTTGCCCAAGAGGGGACAGAACAGTGTGGAGAGCTTGTGTGCTCTGGAATATCCTGGGAAATCTGGCAAGAAGAAAATAAAGAGAACGGGAGGGTAGGAAAGCCTTCGTTTCATGGGATTCTGCAGACTTCTTTCCTGGTATTTCTCTGGTGCCGTTTTGTGGTTTCTTCTCCCATAAGACCCAGCTCTGTGCAGTCCCTGGGTACAGGAGCGACAGGATGGGAAAATGATCAAGGCAATGCCTCTGAGGCCACTTGGAAATCCTTCAATGGAAGAATCCTCTTCCCACCAGGGAGCCTGTGTTGCATGGAAAATGGGCTTGGGAAATAGGAGGCCGGGGGTTCAAATCCTGTGTCTGCCACTTGCGAGTAGCCTGAGACCTGACATCTAGCCTTAACCTCTTGGAACCCCCATTCTGCATGGGTTAAGTGAGGATGCAAAGATCTCTCGGCTTTTAAACACTAAACTACGACACCCAGATCGTGCCCACTCCGTACACATTAACCAGTCAGAAGATCATTGCCGACAGGAGCCAGAGCTGACCACAGAGGCCAGGTTCCACCCAGGTTTCCACTTCATGGTCTCAGAATGGCTTTGAGGTGTTTGGAGCCATGTAGTGGAAACCGTCTGTTTGCATGTCCTAACAGACTCCACGTGGTGTCTGGGCATGGTGGAGCACACAAAAGGACATCAGTCACACGGTGTGCACGCTGAGCACAAGCCTCTGTATGGAGAGGTGCAGGGGAGGCAGATGGGCAAGGCCCAACAGAGGGAACATAAGCCATTCTTTAGCTTTGAAGATTCTGCCCCTTGCTGGCTGAGTACCCATGAGCAAATCACATGACCTATTGGAGTCTGTGTCCTTGTCATTGGCAGGCTAACATAAGTGATAGTTTGGAGATTGCTAGGAAGAATAAAGGAAATAACATGAAAAAGCATGTAGCACTAAGTGCTGATCTGGGTTTGATGGTTATGATGAGCCAGGTGGAGCCCAGAAGTTCATTTCCCTTCTAACCTTCATTTGGCAAATCCTGCAGTTGGAGCTCTGGGGTGGGAAGGCAACGGCTAAGTGTGCCAGGAGAGCGGGATCTGTCTTTAGGCTCAGAGGTCTACCTCAAGCTTTGGCAGATGTGAGTTACACTGCCAGTCAGTTCAGGGAAAAGAAAGTAATTAACAGGTCAGAGAGAACACCAATATCAACAAGAAACCTACCTGGTCACTTCCTTTGTGCTCTCAGGCCCACTTTGACCCTCTGCACCCTCCTCTGCCTGCTGCTCTTTGCCCTCAGGCTTCAACTAGGTGGCAGTAGGTGGCAGCCACCAGCAGGAGGGCAGAGAATAAGTACCCCCCTATCCAAGTCTCTGTGGGTTGGAAATTTAAGCCTCCCAAAGACCACAGCTGCCGTGACAGCCTTTTCCCTAGAGCTATGATCTGCAGTTCTGCCCCTTTGCTCCATTGGGCCCAGGGGAGGTGACAGCATCCTGTCACTGCAGCATACCTTACTCTACTGTACCATTCTAAGTGGTTCCTCTGTGGATATCCTCACCTGGATCTCCTTTCCGTTATGAGCCAGGTATCTTTTAAACTACAGAAGAGAAGTTAGGAAATACAAGAAAGACCATGTGACCAGAAAGGGAGGTTGTGGAGAGAATACCTTGGAACAGCAGGAAAGTGGGACCTGGTAGAACTCATTTAAGGTCCTTTCTGCATGCAAGTAGGAAGCGATCATTCTGAGTGTCAGAAGTGAAGTCTGATGGAATGTGAGGACGGCATGGAGAGAGTAGACTTCATGATGAATTGGCTTTTTCAGGAGCCAGGTGAAGAGGAGGGAAAGCTCTGGTTTGGACATAGAAGAAGGGCAGGAGCTAGGAGCTCAGACTCACTCCTCGATTGAATACAAAGAGTGAAGTCAGATTCAAGCCCTGGCTCATCTCCCGTAACTTCATCTTAGCTACCTGGCACCCTGTGAGTCCCTCCTAGCTTAGGACACATTGCATTCTGGAGGACAAATGGCCTACTGTGCAGAGGTACACAGTAGGGAAGTAAAGAGCCCAAGGTTTTTTGAAAACCCGAGTCCCAAGGCTGGGGTTGTGGCTCGGGGATAGAGCACTTGCCTCGAATATGTGAGGCACTGGGTTTGATCCTTCGCACAACATAAAAATAAACAAAATAAAGATTGTGCCCATGCATAGCTAAAAAGAATTTAAAAAAAAAAAAGAGAACCTGATTCCAAACGAGAATCAGCAAGCCAACTGGGAAGGGACTTTAGACATTTTTCCAGAGGGCATGGGGTCCCCGGGACTTGGGTCTCTCACGTGGTTTGTGGCCAATTTGTTTGAGCAGCATGGCCTTAGGAAAGGGATTGCCTGGGATTCAGAGGAAGAGTGTGCATGGGGTAGAGGGCTGAGGAATAGCCCAGACCTGGAATTTAATGGTGCGTTTTCAGGCAAGCAAAACAGTGGCTGGATTTCCATGGAGAACCTTAGTCATTTTACTGGAGACAGATTATCTACTAAACTATTCCCACCTCTGCCATGTCTTTGGGTCCCTTGTGCTGCACGACAAGGAGTCTACACTCCTCTCTCCTAATAGTGAACACACGTACTGGTATGTATATGTGTGTGTCCATCATCTCTGCAAGACTAGGTGCTCCACAGGGACCAGGTCTGCCTGGCCTCATTGCAAGATCTACTACAACTAGGGTCTTGCCCTGTCTTCAGGGAGCCCCAGCTGAGGGGCAAGATATGGCCTGGTCCTCAGGGAACCCCAATCTGGTGTGGGATGGGATCCTGCACTGCAGAAATGCTGATTTTTTTTGTTATTGTTTTATTTATTTATTTTTTGTTAAGGTTGTAAACTGCAAAGGGTCATTATGGAGACCAGTCCCAGAAATGTTGAGACAGGGATCCATCAATGCCCCAAGTCCTCATTAGTGCATTGTGGAGTCAAAGTTTTCAGGGAGCCACAGAAGGCCCTCAGAGGGGCTTTCTCTGTGCTTGGAGAGCCCATGCCAAGACATGACGCCTGTCAGCCTAAGCTGCTCGCAGATGTTCAGCTCACAGGCTGATCATTTTGCACGGTCAGTTTGCAATATGGGCTCTCCGCAGACCGCCAACCATGTCTAATTCTGTAATCTATGCATCATGCTCAAGTTGGAAAAAACAAGCCAAGGGCTAAAGGTCAGGTGGCCGGTGCCCAGCTAGCCAAGAAGTAAAGGAGGGGTGTGGGAGAGGGATCATGGTCCATTAATGTGACAGGGCAGGTAGAGGACGGCATGACTGGGTGCAGGTCATGGTCCTGGTGCCAAGAGCAGTGCATTCCCAACTCTGCAGCTGCTAGAAATGCCTGGCCTGGAGTGGTCTGGCAGGTGTGTGAAGGCCATCCTACACAAGGGCACAGGGAAGGCAGAGGAGAGACCCACAGCTGAACATTTGGACTCTCATTGCCTTGGAGACCCACACCTCCAACCAGCGCGCACACACACTGACTCCATCTCTCCCTCACACAGCATGGCAACCTGCCTCTCCTGGCCTCCGGCTCCTTCCTCATGGTAGAGGTAGGGTAGAGGAGGTCCCCAGGCTTGGACAAGCCGGGGCAGTAGAGGATGGAACTACTCGGGTGTTGGGGTTACCCAGGTCTACTAAGCCAGGCTGGAGCCCACAATAGGGCTACGGCCACTCCAGGGCACATCTGCAATTCCTGATTCCCTGGTACAGATGAGCAGCCTCCATGATTCGGTGGGAGCCTACTTTTCTACCTCCACAGAGGATCCACCCACAGAGGATGTGGCTAGGGTGTTTCCTTTATCCTTGTAGCTCCCTATTGTCACCAGAGCAGGGTGCTCAATAAATACTTGGAGAACTCTTGGGACAAGAGACCAGACTGTCCCTTAGAGAAATCTGCTTTTGACTGAGGGATGGAACTTTCTCTTTGCCTGGGAGGGGAAGGGGCTAGAGAGACAAAGGGTTGGCCTTTATTTTTCTGAAGCATCTTTTGGAACTGGAAGCTGTAATTGAAGCCTCCTT